ACTTGTGCTGCTGATATGATTAGTCAATTAATGTTAGCTGGTCATTTTGTGTCAAAAACTGTGTTCATTTTTTGGCCAATGAAGCTTTTAGCAATTATTTAAAATGCATCTGATCACTCTACACAATAATCTAGAAACAATGTGTATGAACACCACAAAAGCTTAAGCAGCAAACTTTGCAAAGCACAACATTTATGTCACTGCCAAAACTTTTGGCCATGACTGTAGAATGGCTTCCTTTCCACCCCCCAAAAAATATAAATAAATAAATAAATAACTGAAATTATCAATAGCAGTTTCCACCTCAGAGTAATATAAAGGTAGCTGTGACTTTATATCCCATTATTGTTATTTACTTCCTGTAATTAGGACTTTATGGCCCGGTTTCACAAACAGGGCTTATTTTAAACCAGGACTAGGCCTTAGTTAAATTAAGATATTTAAGCAACTTTTACAAAAATGCCTTAGAAGAAAACATTACAGGTGTGCATCTTGACACAGAACAATGACACTGACATATTTTAAGATATGTTAGAGCAAGATATTTTAAGTCGAGACAGCCCAAACATGCATTTTAGTCTGGGACTAGCTTAAGCCTTGTCTGTGAAATCGGGGGATTATCTCACTCTTCTTACTTTAAACATTATTTTAAAATGGCCGTTTTTATTTTTCACTCTGCGGGAAACAGGCACCTCGAGCTATTCAATTCAATTCAATTCAAGTTAGGTTTCACAAACAGGGCTTATTTTAAACCAGGACTAGGCCTTAGTTAAATTAAGATATTTAAGCAACTTTTACAAAAATGCCTTAGAAGAAAACATTACAGGTGTGCATCTTGACACAGAACAATGACACTGACATATTTTAAGATATGTTAGAGCAAGATATTTTAAGTCGAGACAGCCCAAACATGCATTTTAGTCTGGGACTAGCTTAAGCCTTGTCTGTGAAATCGGGGGATTATCTCACTCTTCTTACTTTAAACATTATTTTAAAATGGCCGTTTTTATTTTTCACTCTGCGGGAAACAGGCACCTCGAGCTATTCAATTCAATTCAATTCAAGTTAATTTGTATAGCGCTTTTCACGATGCAAATCGTTACAAAGCAGCTTTACAGAAAATTAAAGTTTCTACATATTTAGTAATAACTTATCAGTGGTGACTATCTCAAGTTGATGTCCATATGGCAGAAATGTACGGTAAAATTCAAGCAGTTAGTTAATCAAACAGAGGGTGAACACTATTAACAGCAATGATTATCAGTGCAATTCGTTAATGATTCTGCAACCATCATTTTAATGATGTGCAAAGAGAGACCATTGAATATTCGAGATAGGTTACTTATACAATATGTCTCGGGAACACTCACAGAAACTTCCGTAATCCACCAATATGATGAGCAAAAATACATTTTGTCGAGCACTGAACGTGCTATTTCGACGCCCTACATCAGGTTCATGGCCGGTGAGTGCTGGAATTGATCATTAAATTCATTCTAATTGTATGTGCACAAATGCCTCTCATTAGTTTTAGATATCCCTAGTTTCAATAATTGTCGTTGTGCCTGCAATGACACGATATGACCTCTAAACGGCAGTGTGGCGCTAAACTGTAGCCTGATTGCTCATTTTAAATGTAAATAAGCCAATTCATGCATATTTATAATAAGATTAAGCACTTTAAAATGTAATGCTGTTTGTTTTATTTGTGAGCAGCATCACAATTGAAATGAATTAGTCTTATATTGGTCTCTAAAATCATTCTAAATGGTCAAACCTTGAATATTAATACCTCACTGCATGAATATATGCATGACCAGTAGTATTACGTGTATTATTATACATAAATAATGTGCCAAAGCTGCACTGTGATGAATAAGCGTTTGAATTGAAATAGACATATTCACACTCTCGTACTGTGGATGCTACATCTGAAAGGGATGCAGTTCGTGCTTGACTGAGCTCTCTAGCATCAGGGATGCTCAGCCAATCAGATGGTGCTCCCGGTGTCTCCCTGCTTCTTAATTGGCTGACACTTCCAGCAAGAGTAGCTGATCTACGCGTGGAGCCTGGGTTTATCAGCCAGTAAGCCTGTAGACAGAAGCAGGGCACACAGTGAGAAAATAAAGAGCAAAAAGAGGGTGGCTTTTGCTAGAGATAAGCACGGCTAAATCAATCAAGATGAACCACAGCTCCAACGAGAAAGAACCTGAGACCATAGAGCCACTGCGTTATCTCAGGTATGCTCTTTTTTTCCCCCTCCTTCTTCTTTTTTTCTTCTTAATGTGACCAAATTGTACATACAAAACCTTTTAAGACAGATTTGTGTTTAAATGCATCTTAATAGAGATCCTAGTAAGGCTGAGTAATATTTCCACCATCCTTTCAAGTCTAACTTTTAAGTAAATGCGATTTGTGACACAGAAGGACGGCTGTAATATCCCTGACTGTCTAAAGAAAATGCATCTAACTTAATTTCCTCACTGCTTTCCTGTTTACAAAAATAAGACACATTAATTATGATCAACATGCTTTAATAACCTGGAAATGTGGGCGAACAGGTGGAAGGAACGGTCCACTTCAGCTGTCTCTAACAGCAGTTTGTTGGTGATTTAGGCATGTTGACAAAGGTGATGTGACATTTTAGCTCCTGGACGTTGTGATGGCAACATCATGGCCAGCGATTTGCTCTTTAAACAAGCTGGAGGTCGTCTGTTTCCTCTGTTGAGTGAAATATGGCATGTGTTAGAATTGCTTTAAAGCATTATCAGTATGTAAAAGTGTCAGTTCAATCTAACATCTGACAAATTGCCTCATACTCTTGTGAGGTTTAGATCTAGCAGATGTAACCGGAGAATATATTTCAAAAATGACACCGAACAAATGGTGTTTTGATCAGAAGCCCGAGCAGCACGAGATTTCCTTTCCATACTGGGCTTTCCGGCAAGAGAGGCCCTTGGAGCTCTTCACACCAGCCCACAGCGTTTAAAATATGGTGGTCGGCAGGAGACGAGGCAAATTATACACTTTTTAAGGGAGGATGGAATAATAGGATTTAAGGATTTGAGGTTTTACAGCAGGGATTCAGGGGAGATTAATGTTCCTGCTGTAACTTAAAACCTTCATAGCTAATAACGTTGATTTTGCATGGAAACCACATAGTGTGAATGCAACAATTGGCTTTTCTATTATAGTTTTTTTTAAACAGATTGATTTGTGGATTCGTACTGTGCACCCTGGGATTCGTATGTCAATCGCCCTTGCATCCTGGTATTGACGTCGGGTATTGATGCCGATACAAGATGGACAACATTGGGTTACAAAAATTGGATTTTCGAGTCGACAGGATCTTTCTCCATTGACAGCCATTCAAAACTAGCATTTTAATGAAATATTTTTACAAGCTCCATACAGTATCCACTAATTTCAATGCAGAAGTATGCTATTTCTCACTCATTAAACACAGTGCAGAGCTTGCTCAGGAATGGCAGCAGGTTGGTGTGAGAGTGAATGGCGAGGCTTCCGAATCATTAGCTGTAAATAACTAGAAGAATAACAAAGTACAGTAAACAGTAAAACGGTAAAACTGCCTAACTGTTTTTGTACAGTTAACAACTGGAAGCCTCGCACATTCAAGTTAAAAATGTTGTGCGCTAAAAATAAGGTGGATAAAACACTAATGTCTCATTATATTGCATTAAATAATGTCGTTTTTAATGTGTCTCTTAAATGTGTAAAAAACGACTTAATTTTTTTTCTGCTGCTTTTGACATCACAGCTTAGGATAGTCGCTAGTCAAGGGCTAGCATGCACGTTTTTGGGTGCGATTCAAACAATCGCTACTGTCATGACATCATTTCCTGTTTCAAAATGATTAGTCATATGGCAGATGATTGGCTCAAAAAACATGACAGATTTCAAACCGCCTACTCCGAGGGTTCCTGCACCTCACATTCTGATGAAAAGGAATGCTAACGGCTAGTGTTCCTCACATATTATATGTTAAACTTATCGTTTCTTCTTTATTCAAAATTGCACACCTTTTCGACCCAACAGTTGCATCACATGAAGAAAAAGTTGCTGGATAGGAGTTAACAGGTGTTATTATGGTGTTTCGTTTCTGCTGGGCGTTGGTGTTTATTTATAGGCCAAGACTCCAAATGCAATAACGGAGCAGCCTGCCTGATTTGTGGTTTGTTACCAGGCAATGCATTACTTCTAATGGTGGCAACCATTAAAGTTAGATTATGGAGGCAAAATCTCAGTTTACTCAGTTTGTCAAGAGTGCAACAGAGGTGTGTGCGGGGTTGTGATACAAGTGTGCTGAATATCTTCAGTCAGTTCAATAGGAGTATTTTCTGACCCTTTTAGGGCCTCATGTATTGATGTCTAATGATCCATCGATTTACAATTTACGATTTACATAGAGTCATCCACTGTCATTGTTCTCAGCTGGTCAAGCAAAATACTGTCACACACCATCTGTCTCTTCAGCTTTGATGCCAGAAACTGTCTGATGTACCATCAATCCAGATCTATCAAACGTGATCCAGCTAGACTCAAACTCTCGAGCCCACGTGAGCACAATTATTCAATGTAACCACTGGGCCACGGCTCAGGCCAGAGCCAAAAATCTTTTTAAGTGTGCTAAATGAATAATAAACAAAACAATAAACTGTTTGAAGCCTAGAGAAATAGGCCTAGTAATATTAGTATGATAATATGCTATTCAGAATATAAAATATAGGTTAGAAACGTTGTCAAAATATTAAAGTTATATTGTGACATTTAAAATATTGTGTTAAATGAGAAAAACATCAAAGCATCAAAAGCATTTTTAATTAAATTAAATACTCTAAATGAGAAACTAAAACTGCCAGTAGGTGGCGGTAAATGTCTTAACGAGTAAGTCATTGATTCATTCATTCATTCAATTCGTTCAAACTGCTGATTCATTCAGGAATTAAGTAAATGGCTCGATTTATGAATGGGCCATTGAATCATTGGTTCACCCGATTCGTGTTGCTCAGAGACACAAAACACTTCTACTTTGGCTTTATAGCCAGGTAATATTTTCGTTGGCAAAAGCTGAGCCAAAACAGATTGTGTTTAAAATATAACTTCTTATTTTTTGAACTGTTGTATAAAATCAGTATCACATTTGCACCCGTGCTATTCGGGACTAAAACAGCACTCGTGTGATATTGCTAACTATATCACATGATATAAAAATGAGACAAAAACTCATTGTTGCCCCAATAACAGGCAATGCGCAGTGTTCCCCCCCAAACCAATCAAAACAAGCGTTTTAACGGTCGCTTAGTTTCTATTTCCGCTGGGTAGCCCCAACCATACTGAGGTATATATTGCCAAATATCGACTGGTCTTTTGTTAGCGGATATTATAGGACAAATCCATCAAATTCCACAAGGAAAAACATGAAAAAACATGCCCTCTGCTGAAGCACCACCATACGAGGTCTTCTTAATTTTACGCTCTTATAACCATCAGCTTCTCTCTGCTCAAACGGAGAACTCTTCTGATTGGCGTGTTTTGTGCTGGACTGTGTCATGTCAAGCCATATTTCCGCGCTCGGTGTTGACAAAGAAATTGCTGGCAAAGTTCCTCTAAGTAAGTTTAATAATATTAAAGTAAGTCTATAGTCTTTGTAGTCAGTTAAATGGCGTCACGCTTCGTGCACAGTGCGGAGGACTTGGTGACGTCAGCCGAAAAGGATAGTCATTTCAGAACTGAGCAATTAGTTAAATTTTTATAAAAACTTTGTTTTTCTATGGAATAATGTACAGTGATAACATGTATTATGAAAGTAAATACAGTCAATTATGATTTCACGTTTACCATAGTTGATCAAATGATTCATAAATGCAAATACCTCTAATATAAGAGCAGAGTTAAAGGGATAGTTCACCCAAAAATGAAAATTACCCCATGATTTACTCACCCTCAAGCCATCCTAGGTGTATATGACATTCTTCTTTCAGACGAATACAATAGGAGTTATATTAAATAATGTCCAGGCTATTCCATACTTTATAATGGGAGTGGATGGTAGCCCAAAATTTGAAGTTCAAAAAATTGCACCCATCCATTATAAAAGAAGATGCATTTGTGTAAGAAAAAATATCCATATTTACAACTTTATAAACCTTAATCTCTAGCTTCCGCTAACTGTCGTACGCGCGTTCGAGAGAGAGAGTGGTGTCCAGCGGAAGATGTAGGACGTAGGCAAACGCGGTGACGAACGCGGAAGTGATGAATGTGGAAGCGCAGAGGAGAGAGCAAAACAAAACACCGGTCACGAATTAGAAGTACAAAACGAGGATTTGTAAAAGAAAATCTCGGAAGATTTTGATATAAGCCAAGAGGAGACTGGTTTTCCTTTGCT